CCTCGGCCGCGCTGGCTGGGGGGGCCGCGCCGGGACTGGGCCTCCGTCCTGAGCAGCGTGTGCCTTTCTACCGGCTGCCCCCCAAGTCCATTTTCTGGGTGCTTGTCCTCTTCCTCCGCTGCCCCCAGAGGTGCCCCGGAAGCGCTCAGAACTGGCAGCCGGACCCCCGCTGTCAGCCCCCCCCCCCCCGCAGCCGGGCGCGGCAGCCCCACAGGCCGAGGAGCCCCCGGAGGGCCGGGGCCTCCGTCCGGCCTCTGCCCTTGGCGGGCAGCGGCGGCGTCTGGGCACCGGCGCCCCGGCCCCCGCGCTGCCCGGGCCGGGAGACTCTCCCAGGGGCGGCGTCTTGTCTTCGCCTTCCCGTCCGCGCGGGGCCCGGGTCCCCCGGTTCCCGCCTTCCCGCCCGGCTTCTGGCCCCCGCGGGACGCCCTGGGCGCCGGGTCTGTGGGCGCCGGTGGCCGCGATGCGAGGGCCGGGAGGCCGAGACGTGGCGGGGGCGGCGTGTGCGGAGAAGAGCCGCGTCTCGGGGTGCGGCCCGCGCCGCCTTCCCCGGCCGTGTGGTCGCGGCCCCGGCCCCGGCCGGGGGGGCTGGGGCTGGGGCGGGGCGGCGCCTCGCGGCCGGGACGTCTGTCTTCCCGCTGGGTCTGAAAGGCGCGCGGGCTCCCCGCACCTCAGGGCCCGCGCCTGCCGCCCCCGGCGCGCACCTGGGTCGCGGGGCTCGTGTCTGCCGCCCGCGACCCCCGCCGGGTGGGCCCACGGCATCTCCTGGACGCCCCGCGGCCCCGGGACGCGGCCCTTCTCCCGCTCTCGCCAAGGGCGTCCCGGACGCCGGCGCTGTGGCCCCGCGTGAGCTCGGAACCAGCCCGCCGGCCCCGCGCGTGGTGTCTGAGGGCGGGGGGTGTCCGTGTGTCCGCCCGGGGACGGCCGGCGCTCGCCAGCCCCGTCTGTCCGTCCCGAGACAGTGGCGGGACCCCTGCCCCCGCCCGACGGACCCGGGACGCTCGCGGCGGCCTCAGTGGGTCCGCCCGCCTTCCTCGCGCCTCCCGGTGCGCTCGGCGTGGCGGCCTCGGGCCGGGGCTGTCCGGAGGCCGCGCCCCGGGCCCCCCCCCCCCCCGCAGACACGGCCTCTCCGGCGGGGCGCACGTCAGCCGACTCTGGGGCCGGCGGCAGTTCCCGTTCCCGCTCCTCGGGCGCGTCGGGCCGCACCTCCGCAGCCCCGAGTGTGGACGCTTTTTAAAATCGTTGCCAGTTTAGCGCCCGCTGCAGGCGAGGCCTCGGCGGGGCTGGGGGCGCAGCGGGGAGCAGGCCCTCGCCCCACGGGGGCCTCCGAGCCGGAGCAGGTGAAGCCGGTGTCTGCCCCACCCACCCCCGCAGGTTACTGAGAAGTGCCTGAGAAGCGTGTTGCGGGCTGCGGCGCTTGCCGAGGGCGCAGCACCTTCAGTGTAGACGCGGCTTGAGTCCAGCCCGCCTGCTGCCCCCCGGGCTCGCCTCGCCTCCTGCCGCCTTATCGTGGCCCGGCCATGGCCTCCCGGTGCTCATGCCTGGACCTCACGCCAGGGCCTGAGCCCCCCGCCGGGCGCCTGAGGACGGAAAGTGGTTTCTCCCGCGGGGCCCCCCAGTGTGCTGCTGTGGAGCAGGTGGGGGGAACTAGAGGGTCAGCAGGCCCAGGGGCTCCTGGGAGCGGCCTTTCAGGAGGCAGCTGCCCCCACCACACGGAAGCCCACCCAGGGCGCAGGCCACGGACGCCCCGGGAGCGGAGCGGCCGGAGAAGGGTGGGGCCTGGCCACGCGCCCCTGGACACCAACCCGGCTCCTCGGCCCGCGGGCCACAAGCTCTCCCGGGAGGGCGGGGGGGGGGGGGGGGGGGGGGGGGGGGCACCCCACCCCCAGCCTGCGGCCCAGCTGGCTGGGCCTGGGGAGAGGAAATTTCCTTCTCTCTGTATTTATTTTCCACATCCTTGACTTTGAAGGCCAGGCTCATGTTGGTATTTACCTTGGCCGGGCCGCCCCGTCTCCCCGCCAGCCCCGTGTAAACACGATGTTCCTTCCCTCAGTTCTGCCGCGGCGAGGTGGCCTTTTGCAACCAGTTCTAGGAATTTTGTAAGTTCAGGGTCCAGCCCTCCTGGGAGCTCGGGGTGCGAGGGGCCGCTGGGGCCTCACGCTGGCCGCGGGCCCAGTGCGGGACTGGTGCAGAGGCGCCCGAGTGCCAGCCTTGTGGGCAGCCAGGCAGGGCCACCCCACGCTCACTCCTCTGCCGAGAGGCCGCGGGGGCGCCGTGGGCCCCACATTCACACCCGCCTGGCCCTGCCAGACCCGGAATTCTTGGCTCCTAAGGGTAAGCAAAGGGACAGAGGGGGCTGCACGGTCCAGCCTAGCCCCCCCCTGCAGGTGGGGGAGGACATGCTCGCCAGAGACATCTGCTCCCGAGCGTCTGTGCGGAGCGCGGCCTGCGGGCCACTTGGCATCTGGACCGCGGGTCCCGTGAGCGGGCGCAGGCCCAGTCACACGGCCCTGCCCTCAGCGCGCTCACCCTGTGGGGCGGAGGCCGCGAGGCCGAGGCCACAGCAGGAGCGATTGGGAGCTGGCGCTGCACACAGCTGCCCTGGGGTGCTGGGGTGCGGGGTGGGGGGGTCCGCCCCCATCGCCAGCGAGGCCTCGGGCAAGTGGCGGCCCCCGTGAGAGCGACGCCGGGGCGGCGGGGCAGTGCCGGGAGCCGCTGTTCCTTCAGCCACGGCCCGGGCGCCGGGACTCAGCGCTGTCTCCTTCTCACGCAGATCTGGGACATGAGCGACGACGAGACCGTGTGACGCGCCGGCCCTTCTCCCCGCCAAGGCGCGCCCGAGCAGGACTGGGGACCCGGCCCCGCGCTCCCGTACCTCGAAGACGGCGCCCGCCCCCCGCTGCCTGGAGCTTCGGGCGTCTCCTTCCCGCGACCCCTGACCCCACCGTCTCCTCAGCTAAATAATAACCTTGGCTTTGGCGCGGCCGCTGGTCGGGCCTCGGCCGCCTCCACGCGGGTCTCTGTTCTGCTGTCACCGCGTCTGGGAGTCGGCGGCTCCGGGGCGTGGGCTGGTGAGCACGGGGAGCCTGCGCTCGCGGCCGGGCCTGCCCGACGCCCCAGGGCCTGGCGGGAGGCCGGCGGGGCCCACGCTCCTCCCGGACCCGGAGCCGCGGCGGCGGCTCTGTGGGCGCCCCAAGGACGGCCTCGGCCCCTCGCGCCCCTGAGAAGGCCTCAGACCGCGCCGCTCACGAGGGGGGCGGCCGAAGCTCCGTCTGGCGCGGCGCCCCCCGGGGCTGGAAGGGCGCTTTTCCAGCAGACGCGGGGCTCGAGCGGGGCCTCCCCGGCGCCGCCCCCCGCAGGCAGAGGGTCGCACACGCGTCCGTGGTTTAAGGGCACTTTATTATTGTTCTTAAGGCTACTTTTAAGTACAAAAAAAGATGGCCTGCCAAACCTTTTTTTCTTCTTCCAGGAAAAACAGGCCGCAGAGAACGGTATATTACAGGGGCAGCCACGAGCGCGCGGGGGGCACCGCGGGCTCCGCGGAGGGTCCCGGGCGCTCCGGGCGGCTTCCCCGGGGAGGGGCCTCGCGCGCCCGCCCGCGCCCTCCGGGCCGCCCATCCCAGACGGGCCGCCGCGGCCCCGCAGCGGTAACAAACGAGTGGCGAGTAAGGCAGAGGCAGCGTCTCATGGGTAACCGTGTTCCTGCACTTTTACAGACGAGCTACGACAAAAAAAAGATCAACTTTTTTTTTCCAAACCAAAAAAAAAATGATTACACTGGGAAAGGGGGAAATTAAATAGCTACATATCATTAACAAATTAATTGTTCTTCAAAAAATACCTACAAATTTCTCTGTACATTCTTTACGCACAGCGTAATGATGGTCTTAAAGTTACCTACATAAAAAAGTTCTCGACGGGCTTCCCGCGGAGGAGCCGGGCCTGCGCGGGGGCCCGGGGGCCGGCGAGGGGCGCGCGGGGCCGAGGCCGGGGCTCCCCGCGCCGGTTGCCCGGGGTCTCCCCCGCCTGGAAACCAGCCTCGAGGGCGCCCGGGAGTCCACGCCGCGCGGCGGGCGAGGCTGGAATGTGGCGCGGGGTCTGCGGGAGCAGCAGCGGCCGCCCCGCTCGGGTGAGTAGCCGGAGCCCCGCGGCGGGTGGAGTCAGGAATGTGCGCGCCGGCCCCCGGGACGCGCGCCAGATTGTCAGGGACCTGCTGTTCGCGGGAGCGGTTTCTGCAGGGGGGCCGGGCGGGGCCTAAGCGGGCGGCGGCGGCGACACGGAGGCCGCCCGCCCGCGGGCACTGGACCAGCAGTAGCTCTGGCGAGGGCCGCGGCCGGGAGGAGCGCGCTCCGGGACGACGCTCGCGGGAAGGGCCGGCTGGCGGGCGGCCTGCGGTTGCCAGAAACCAGCTCTTCGCGCCGCCACAACGCGCCGCCCGCTGGAGGCGCCGCGGGCCCCGGCGCAGCCCCGGCCTAACGGCCCGCGCGGGAAGGTCAAGCCCGCGGGCAGGGGCGCGTGCGGCCCAGCTGCAAGCACCTGAAGTCTAGAGAGAGACCTACAGCCCGCACGCGGCTTCCCCTGCCAAGCGGCCCTAAGTCAGAAAAACCAAAAAAAGAAAAACCCCACTGGTCAGCAACGCCCTCCTCACCCCGTGTCCTCAGCAGTTCGCCCTCAGCCGCGGGCCTCGCGCCTGGCGCGGGCAGCTCGGCCTCCAATAGTGCAAATCAGACGCGCCGGTTCTGTTCTGTTCAAGTACGCGCTCCTGCCCGCGCGCCCCCAAAGCAAACGCCGGGCTGGGGCAGCCGCGGGGCCCTGACCGCGGCAGAGGTTTCTTTGGTAGCCGAGGCAGGAGCAGGACGCCGCGCTGGACGGGCCCCGCGTCCTGCTGAGGCCGCGCGCGCCGAGCGGGTACCGAACAGGACAGAACGCGAGCCCCGGCGACCCGGGCTTTGCGAGTCAACCCTCCCGCCCCACCCCCCCCATTTTTTTTTTGTTTTTCTGAATTTTAAGCGCTGACTGTGGGAAGCTCAGGCAAACCATGCAGATGCACGTCTTGTTCGCGGCGGGCGCGCCCTTCACGAGGCCACGGACGGGGAGTGGCCGTGGCTGACCATGTGGGCCGAGGGGCTGGCCGGCTGGGCCCTGCGCGAGGCGGGCTCGGGGCTGCCGGCCGCGCCGTCCTTGGCCGCCTTGATCTGGAGCCACGTGTCGCCCAGGGCCTTGGCGAAGTGGTCGTCCACGGAGCCCGTGATGGACACGGAGTTGGGCGCCGGCTCCGGCTCCTTGTAGTTCTTGCCCAGGCTCCTGCGGAAGTGCTCCTCCACCACGGGGTCGCAGGCGGCGGCGGCTGCGGGGAGCAGAGGCGCGTCAGGGGGGGGGGGGGACGGGGGGGGGGGGCGCCCTGTGCGTGGTGGCCCTGCCGGGAGGCGGAGCCCCCTCGTCTCCCTCCCCGCCCCACCGGGCAGCGCGTGGCGCACAGGCTCCCGGACGCGGGGACCCGAGAGGGGCCGAGGCCGGTTCTCCGCCGGCCGCGCCGCGGGGAGTGAGGAAGCCCCCCACTTACAGCTCGGCGCCCTCCGGTAGCTGGCTGGCCCGGCCGGCGCGCAGCCGCTGTGCGCGATGGGGCAGTGCGAGAGGTTGCAGTTGCGGGCGCTGGCGGACGCGCACGTGATCACGGACGGCCGGTTCTGGGGGCGAGCAGAGGGGGCGTGAGGCTCGACGGGGTCCCGGCCGCCGGCGTGTGACCCGCCCTCCCGCGTCCACCCGCAGTCCGCCCGCCCCGGGAGGGGCCCAACCCGCGCCCTGCGGGAGCCCGGCGGCTGCTGACGACCGCGAGCCCCGCGCCGGCAGCCCCCCGCTGCCCCTCCACCCCCGCGCTGCTCGCGTGGGCGACGGTCACGAGGGGCGCGCGGCGGCTGTGCTGTGCTGGCTGCCCGGGCCGTCACGTCCCCCAGGCCCACCGCACCCGGGTCTCCCCCACCCCTTCCATTATGGTCTGTTTCCGCCTCAGCCAGCTCAGGGCGGCCCCTGCTGCGACCCCACCCCCCTGACGGGCGGGACGGGCGGGAAGGACCGCGCAGGGTGGGCCCGCGCAGAGGCCTCCGTGCCCCCCCCCCCCCCCGCGAGGCCCGTGGTCCTTGGCGACTGTCCAGACCCAGCGTCCCCTCCGGCCCCTGGCGGCTGCCGGCTGCGCTTCCGCCGCTCTCGGTGAGGCCTGGGAGTCCACAAGGCCCGGTGCCCTCCCCCGACCGGCCCCCAGTTTCCAAATGCAAAACGAAGGCTGAAATGGCCGCCTGCGGGGGGCGCCATGGTGCAGGGGGGGGGTGTGCAGACACCTGTCCCTCCCGCCCAGCCGCTGCCCGGAGGAGCCGCCCCCTCCCTCCTCGTCTGTGTGGAGCGCTCTCCACCTTCGGAGCCGCCATCACAAACCCTGCCAGGGACACTCCCTGCAGCCTCCCCGCACGCCCCTCTGGGAACTCTCCCGTCCCGGTTCCCAGAGAGCTGAGTCACCTTCCCCGGGTCACTTCCTGCTGGGGCTGCGGCGGGCCAGGCCATGCACCTGGGCTCCGACCCTGGGGGTCCCTGGCGCAGCCCCTGGGCAGAGCCTGGAGTCACAGCGGCCGCCTGCGCGGACCGGGAAGGCCCAGGGCCCGCGTGGACACGCGCTCCCCCCGCTGCAGGCCAAGGGCCCACGAGGCAGGCCTGACAGCTGCCTCTTCACCTCCGACCCCAAACTGAAATGAAAGCCGGAGCCCCAGTTCGCGCCGCCAGCCCCACAATACATGGGACCCGCTGGCGCTGGGGGAGGCTGGGGGCAACTTGGGGAAGGAGAGCCAGGGCCCCGGGCCACGTACGAGCAACTCTACCCCGAACTAGCCGCCACCTTGCGAACAGGGGACTCAGCCAAGAAAACACTAGAGCTTCACGGTGGGGCCCACCCTGTTCTCCCGGGACGAGAGGGGACGGGGAGCTGCTTCCTTCGGGCCGCCAAGGGCCAGAGACGGAACTTCCCAGGGGCACGCACCGCCACCTGCAGTGGCACTACCCAGGGCTGGGTCCGCCCTTATGCCTCGGTGGCCCATTTCTGAGGGGGGGGGCGCACCTCCCTGGCTGGAGGCGGGGCCTGCGCCCGCCCTGGGCTGCGGCTCATCAGCTGAGACACCCGGGTGAGCGCTTGGACGACCCTCGCCAGACTCAATCTGCGGGTGCCCGACGACACCCTGGTACGCGTCAGCCGCCCCGGGTAGACTGGCCACACGAAACGAGATCACAGGGCGGCTCCAAGGGCCGCCCACACGCAGCTCCCACAGTCGGGGTCAGCACCTGAGCCAGCCTGCGGGTGGGGGGGGGGGGCGCGGGCCCTCGCCGCTGCTTGAGCCACGCCGCACCGGTTCAGGGAGAAAAGCCGCGCACTCCCACACCGGTTCTGAGCCTCACCCACCACCTCCTCAGGGGACGCGTTTCCCCAGGATCCCTGTTTTTAGAAGGTACTGTTCCTTTTCCTACCAAGTACACTGTTTACTAAGGAATAATTTCCTCATCTTCCTATAATGAAAAACATCCCTGTGTGCCCATCACAAGTTCCTGACCAGCAGGAACTAGTAACCTCTGTGCCCACAGCTTGACAGGATGCCAGCCCAACGCTCAGCATGTCACTCCGAGTGAGGCGGCCATGACGCCAGCAGGAACCAGACTCCCGGGGAGCAAAACCCCAGAGACAGCTGCTGTCCTAAGGGGACAGGTCCAGGTAGGCCTCCAGAGGTGGGATGCTCTCAGTACTGCTCCTGCTGCTCAAGCACGGACCTCAAGGACAGCACGTCCTCCGGGCCTCTTCTCAGGGCTCTGCCCACCCCCGCCTCCACCCTGGGACAGAGGCGTACCTGCTGCCGCTCCCCAGGGGTCAGCGTGGGCGAGATGCCGGCTGGCCTGCCGGTGTCCATGCTGTTCTTGGTCAGTGCGAGGGGCTGCTCCATGCTGAGGCTGGGGAGGGACGTGTATAGGTGGCTGCCGTGCAGGCTCATGGTGGGGGCCACGGCGCGCTCGATGGGGCTGCGGCTCCGCTCCCGGGGGTCTTTTCGGCAGTCTCCGTTGGCAGTCTTGCTCCTGGAAAGGAGAGCGGACACTCAGACGGGACCCCTGGCAAGGGGAAGGCCAGCTACGTGGCAGGTGCTTCACTGGGACGGTTTCGTGGAATGGCCCTCTGCTGGGGTAATGCCTGCTAGCGCCGCCATTTTCCGGGGTTCGGGTCAAACGTTCCCAGGACACTCACCCCAGTGGGTGTGACTCCAAGCCCCTCATGAGGGTCTCAAGTTGGCTCTGGGGCGCCACGTTGGCCACCCTGCCCAGCAGCCTGTCCTGTCCCAGGTGGGGTCACCTGCCTGCCCGAGGCACTTCTGGAACGAAGCCCCTGCTTGGTGCCCTCAGGAACCAGCCTGCGGTAGCTGAGATTACCCCTTGCAGGGCCGTCAGTGGCACTGGGCACGCCATTTAATTGGTGGGCATTTCCCCCCTTTTAATTCTCGGATTGACGACACAGAATGACAAAGCAGTCCGGAAATTAATTTTTGTCCCATGGAGAGAATGTTCTGGCTCAACGTCATGCGTCCCACACAGACCACGCATCCCCTGGCGGCTCTCAGAGAGTGACGCTGGCAAACAATGAATGCCCTGAATTCTGCCTCCGGCCTGTCCTGCCCTGGCTTCCTGTAGGGACCCAGCAGGCGGCCGCGGTGGGGAGCGCCGGGGAAGAGCGCGGCCCGGTCGGCACGCGGGCAGGCAGGCGCCGTCCAAAGCTCGGAAGCACCTGTCCCCAGCCGCGCCCTCCCCACAGCCGGCGTCCACGTGTGCCGTGGCAGGCAGGGGCCCAGGCGGCGCCACAATCTCCACCCCAAGCCCCCGCCGGGAGCAGAGTGCAGCGCGGGAGCGGAGACGCAGGTACACGGAGGCGGCCGGCTCAAGCACGCGTGGGGCACCTGGAGTCAAATCCTACATTACGCGCGCTCCCAGCTCGGCTGCCTGATGCCCGGCGCTCCCAGAGAGACGTGGCTGCTGCCCGGGCGCTGCGCCCTCATCCCGGCCCCGCCCACAGGCTTCCTGCCTGCCACAGCGACTGGCCCTCCACCCCACTCGAGACCACGCTGCCACTCGGAAATCACCCCGCCCTGGGGGCATCTTCGGCCCGGCTTAGCAGAGGTGGGGAGGGGCCTGAAGTGAAAAGGCAGCAACAAAGCCAAGGACTGTTCCCCTTTCCTCCTGCCGGAGCATGCGGGGAGCAGAGGCCGCGCACCCCCTGGGCCTCTGGGCGGAGACAGCAGCGGTGTCCACCCCCCGGCTCTCCTCCCAAGGGGGTCTCCTGCCCTAAGCCCTGGGGGGTTAGGACGCCACCAGCTGTTGCTGGCCGCCGCCTGAGTCTGTGCTTACGCGGAGAGGGAGTCCAGGACATCGCCGAGGAAATGCCCCACAGGAAAGACTTTTTCCTCTGAAAAAGCAGAATTTCGGGAAACGGCCGCTATTTCCTCCCCCTCGCCTCTGCCCCCGCCCCGCCCCGGGCGCACACAGCACACAGCTTGCCCTTTTGGCCGCTTCTGAGCAGGACGTGTCACTGCTCCCTGGCCCCCAGCAAGACGGCGCCGGGGTGAGTCTCCCCACACCCTCGCCAGCCTCATCACCCCTGGCACCAGCGTCAAGCACGCGGCAAGGGGGTTGCTGACAGCAGCCCTGGGGCGGGCAGGTCCAGCCCACCAGGTCTGCAGGTAGAGGGGAGGTGGAGGTTGGACAGACACCCCCCGCCCCCTGGGTACTAGACCGTGTCTTGGGCAGGGCCGGGAAACACTGGGCATGGAGCATACGGGACACAGCACAGCCCGGGGCTCTGCGAGCTGCCAGGCGTGTCCTGGTCAGCCATGATGTGGGGGATGGGGCCGTCTCTCTAGCCCCACTCACCGTCACGCCAATAAAGACGCCACCGGTGCCACCACAGGGAGCCCAGCCTGAGAGTGCAGGACACTGCAGGTAGCTGGTTCCATGGTGTCCCATTACGCCTACCCAGCAACGTTCCCCCTTAGCACCCACAAAGGCGGCACCCCCCTTTCTGCTTGCTTAGAGTTTAAAAACCAACCCTAGGGAACTAGGCGACCGGACACTTGCCTCCAGGCTGGCAGAGGATCCCGTCTGGGCGAGGGGCCTGCCGTGACCAAGGATTCTGGAGACAGGCCGGGAGCAGACACCCCCTCGCGGCCCCAGAGGAACCAGCCCCGCGGCTGCCCGATCCCGCAGCCTCTGAGCCACCCGCCTCCGTGGTGCTGGTCACGGCAGCGCCAGAAACTGGTACAACTCCGGTGGCCTTCGCCCCCCACTGCTTTCTGTTTCTTCAGCTGCATTCCGCGCATCCTGCTTCATGTGGAATTAACCCCAAAGGCTGTTCAGAAGTCCCCTCCGGACATGCTCGCGCGGTCCCGCAGGCCCCGGACCGCAGGGATCCTTGACGCGCGCGCCGTCCTGCGGTGCTCGGCTGATACCCAGAGGACATGGGGGGCGGGGGGGGGGGGCTGCGGGGAGCCAGCTGCCCCGGCTTCCCCAGGAGCCATTTAGGAGGCCCGCAAGACCCCCGCCTGCTCTCGTGTCCGAGAGGAAAGAAGCCGACTGGCCAAGTTTAATCCAAAACCCCTGTCTCTGCTCAGTGCCATTTTGGACAGCGAAGGCACCTGGGCGACCTCCCCATCGGCCATCCACAGGCTTCCAGGCGACGAGGACGCAGCGCTGCCTCACCATAAAAGCGCGCCAGCTGCTCTAGCTGAAGGCCGTCCCCAACACCCTCCGGTCTCGCAGCTGCCCTTTCCTGGGCACGCGGGGCTGCAGGGCACATCCCCTCCGGCCGTGCTGCAGGCCAGCACCAGGAAGGCTGCCTGCACAGCACTCAGCATTGGGGGGGCCAGGCTGGAAGATCCTGGCTCTCGGGGCACCCTCGCTTGCTGCAGCTCCATTTCCTGGCGCTGCATGGCGGGAGCATGGTCTTCCCCTCGCCGGGGCCGAACCACCAGCCTAGCGCTAGGTCAGCGGAGCGATGTGTAAGGAGACAAGGGCTCTGGGGAGGGCCGGGCCTCCCAGCGTCTCCCACCCCCACGTCCAGGGCCGACACCTGATTGCTGGGGGAAACACAGGCTCCCCAGACCTGCCGCACAGAGAGGCCAGCAGAGCCCAGCGCTCACGGGCTGCGGGGAGACGGAGTCACCTCCCGGAGGCTCAGCCCCATGCCGGGAAGCACCAGTTTCTCTGACCAGAACCGTCCGCATGTTGCCATCGTGAGCGGAGACGGCGGGAACACTGACACCGAGGCCAGGGTCACCCCTGCGACGTGGCTGGCGAACACCCCCCCTGCCGGCCACCTGAGGCGCAGGCCCCCACTTCAGCCGAGCCCCTGCTACTGCCACGCGGGGACCCTCATGTACACCCACACTGGGCGTGGAGGGAACGGCACACGACCCACATGCCCACCCGGCGCTTTCAGATGCGTGGGGAAGTAGCTGCGTGTGATCAGAGGACTGAATTCAAGTTCCCGCCGCCACTACCACTACACGAGCTGTCGCTTTGGTCATGGATTCTCTCGGTTAATGTTATTTAAAAAAAAAAAAACAAAAAGCCGCAGTCATATTTTCAGCTTTCAACAGAGCCCCTGCGCCAGAGCTGGGACAGGAAACGCCCCAGGTGGAATCCCCCGGAACCCGCCCCCCTGCACAGCCAGAGGTTTCTGGGCACATGGGCGCTTCCTGCTTTGCCAGAGAGGCGGGTTCCTACCAGACGTGCCTGGAGTGAAACCAGGCAGGAGAGGGACCCCAGCACGGCGCTGCTCGGCCACGTCCGTGAGTCGGAGTCTAGAACAGTGCCTGGCACACGGCAGCGGAGGCGCGGGGGAACCCACGCGAAGCAAGTGTGTGCTTGGAAGAAACCTGCACTGGCCGGCTTGAACAGCGGAGGGACTCGCGGAGCGCAGCGAGCAGGGCAGGCAGCCGGGGGGACGGGGCAAGGCCGCCCAGCAGGTAATGGTCTGAAGACACCCTCGGCCTCACGGCCACTTTCATTCTGGGCGGGCAAAGAGCCGCCCCTCCCGGACCAGACCCTTCTGAAGGCTCACTTGGGCAACAAATTGCTGGACGGTGCCCTAAAGTGTGTAGTGGGCAGACTGGGTGTCTGTCCTGCGCCGAGGACGGTGGGTTCGTGGTAGCAAGGCTGTGGCGGGAGGGGGAAGGGCGCGGAGGGCAGCGTCCCCGGGCCTGGACTACCGCTCCCTCCTCGGGGAGCAGCTCAGCTCCCCCCGCAGGGCTTCAGGAAGAGCTCCTCATGCATAGCGAATGGAAGCAACTTCCCAGGAGAATTCTGGGGTCAAAGGTGATTCAATTTCTTCTCCCAACTACCAGAAACTACTTCTGTGTCAGCCCTGCCCTGCCAAGAATGCTCGTCACCAACCAGAACCCCATCAAACGGCCCTAACCCCCGCCTCCCCACGCGAGGTCCAGTCAGCCCTCACCTCCAGGTACGGGCTGCAGCACTGGACCTGAGAAACTGGGAAGGACCGTTCCTTTCGACTTACAGCATGTTTTTGAAGCAAAAGTTGTGGCACACGATCTAAGAAGAGCAGACTAAGGTGAAACAATAGAACATTCAAAATCAGGGCCATCCAAGACCTGCAATCGTCTGCAACGGCGCTTCCCACAGGGCTACTCAAGGAGCTTCCACACGGGAGACGAGGGCCGCCCGCCATCCTTCCTACTCTTGCCGTCTGTTAGTGCCCCGTATCTGAGGCTCTGCACCCGGCAAAGAGACGCAGTGAAGCCCTGCACACACTCGGGCGGGCGGCTGTGATCACACAAACTTCCCGTGCCCTTAAGGCTGGCCGCCACCCCTCTCGCCCGACAAGCACCCCACACTCTCATTCCCTCGCCTGAGCACCAGTAGCTTGCGGTCCAAATTATGTTGTGAACTTCTTGATCTTAGTGGATACACCCCAATTCAATCCATTCCACAACAGAATTTAGAGTCTGTTTTTCTTCTAAAACTGCCCACCTAGCTGACAGGCATCAGAAATTTTGTGAGCAAAATTAAAGCGC